TTTAAGGTCAACATTTACAGTGATATCATGTTATTAATATGCATTTTCGATATAATTTGATGAATGACACTTTACCTCTGTGGTCTTCCTTTCAAAAACCCACAGCCCCAGTTTAATGATGAGAAAAACTTTAGACAAATCACAATAAAGGGAAATTCTACAAAATACCTAAACACTACTTCTCAAAACTGTAATGGTCATCAAATACGAGGAAAGTCTGAGAAACTAAAAGCTCAGAGGGCCTACGGAGACACGACAACTAAATGTAATCTGCTATCCTGGATGGAATCCTGAAACAGAAAATAAATACTGGGTAAAAACTATAAAAACTATAGAAATGTAAATAAAGTGTGAGCTGTAGCTAATAATGAGGTAACTGTGTTGGCTTATTAATTGTACAAATGTAGCATACTAATGTAACATGTTAGAAATATGGAAAACTGGGTGCAAGGTATATATATATAAAATAACTAGGCTACTATCTTAGCAATATTTGCCTAAATCTAAAACAGCTCTAAAAAAATAAAGATTCTAGGAAAAATAGTGAAAATAACAATAAAAGGTATCAATTTACTACAAAAAGATGTCATTTATATTACTAATAAGCAATCAGCACCAAGTTTCTTGTGGTTTTCCCCAGATGATAAATTATATTACATTGAAATAAGAGATATTTATAAAATCTGTGAAGATTCTACTTTCCCCCAAAATTATGCTTGCTTGCTATTTAATTTTTCTAACAGAAAAATACTAATTTGTCCCACAGTATGCTGAATGAGGATAGAACTTGACATTGGATATCACCATTGAATTATCTCAAACAGGGTAACAACACCTGTAATTGGGTCACCCTGGGTCCCCAGGACACCTAATTGAAAGAATTAGATACTGAATTCACTGTCCACAAAAACTCTTCTACATCTTTCCTTAGCTAAAATAAAATAAGTTTCTCCAGCTTGGAGCTGTGGAAAAGCTCAGATAGTGAAGAGTCTCACCTTTGAGCAGAAGGTATTCCAGGCTATAGCTGGTATTGCTTTGCATGGCATTTTACTGGTCTTTATATCTTTGTTTCCTTAAATATCCATCTCTTTGAAATTAAGGAGTCAAAGTTATGAATACCCTAGTAAAGAGAGATGTACCGGGGCTGGGGTTGTGGCCCAGTGGTAGAGCACTTGCTTCACATGCATGAGGCACTGGGTTCGTTCCCCAGCACCACATAAAAATAAATTAAATAAAGATAGTGTATCCATCTACAAATAAAAATATATTTTAAAAAAAGAGATGTACCAATTTTGGCTGGTTCTAAAATAATGCATAGGCTGTTGCTGATGCCAATAATAGTAACAGCTGGTATTTTTGGAAATCAAATATGTACTATGTACTGTTCTCAGCATTTTACTTGTATTTTCTCAGAGTATAACATGAACAGTAAAAAACTGTCTTGTCTGCAACATCTCTAGTAATTAGAGAAATGTAAATCAAAACTACTCTAAGATTTCACCTCACTCCGGTCAGAATGGCAGTTATCAAGAGTACAAGCCACAATATGTGTTGGTGAAGATGTGGGGGAAAATGCACACACATACACTGCTGGTGGGAATGCAAATTAGTGCAACCAATCTGGAAAGCAGTATGGAGATTCCTTAGAAAACTTAGAATGGAACCACCATTTGACCCAACTATCCCACCTCTCGGTCTACACCCTAAATACTTAAAAACAGCATACTATCGTAACACAGCCACTTCAATGTTTATAGCAGCACAATTCACAATTGCTGAATTGTGGAAGCAACCTAGATGCCCTTCAATAGATGAATGAATAAAGAATCTGTGGAACATATACACAACAGAATATTACTCAGCATTAAAAGAGAATAAAATTATGGCATTTGCAGGTAAATGGATGATGCTGGATAACTTCATGCTAAGCAAAATAAGCCAATCTCAAAAAAACAAAGACCAAATATTTTCTCTGATAAGTGGACTCTAATCCATATGGGGAGGTCTGCATTGGGATAAGTGAAGGAACTTTGGATGGGGCGAATGGGAGGGGACAAAGAGTTAGAAAAGACAGTGAAATGAGATGGACATCATTATCCTAGGTACACGTATGATTGCACAAATGGTGTGACTATTTCATGCACAACAAGAGAAGTGAAAAATTCTGCTCCATTTGTGTACAATGAATTGAAGAGCTTTCTACTGTCATGTATAACTGATTAGAACTAATAAATAAATAAATAGAAAAAAATTGTCTGGATTCAAAAACCAGATATGTGACCTTAAGCAAGTGACTTGCATCTCTGTGCCTCAGTTTCCTCATCTGTAAAATGCAGATATTAGTAGTCCTCTTGTAAGGACTAAGGAAATCAATACATAAAAAGAATAAATTTTAAAAATTTCTTACCAGTGCATTATAATTATGCATAATAATGGGATTTATGTCATATTTGTACAAGCACAAAACAGTTTGTTCTATCTCCTTTCCAAGTATCTTCCCTTTCCCTCCCCTGATCCACTTGCTCTACTCCATTGCTCTCCCTTCTATTATTATTATTATTTTAATTAGGATATTATCATTATATATACAAATAAACACACACATATACATGCATGATTCACTAATAAATATTCACTATGCATATAACAGCCTAATTCGGTAGATTTCATTCCCCAGTACTTCCCGTGGCCTTCCTTCCTCCCTAACTCTCAATCCCTTTCCTCTGTTCTATCGGTCTCCCTTCTATTTTCATGAGATTCTCCCCAACACACCTTTTCTTTCTTCTCCCTAGCTTCTGCATATGAGAGAAAACACTCAACTCTTGACTTTCTGAGTCTGCCTTATGTCACTTAGCATGATGTTCTCCAATTCCATCCATTTACCAGTGAATGATATAATTTCATTCTTTATGGCTGAGTAAAACTCTACTGTGTATATATACTATATTTTCTTTATCTAAGAATAAATATTTTTTGTATGTAGTAACAACATAATACTTGGCATGTAGTAATTATGTTTTAGCATTGTTATTAGATTAGTTCTAAGAGGTATGTATATCACTAAACCCACTTAAATTGAGAAAATGAGGTATAAAGAGATAAAATCAGGGCTGGGGTTGTGGCTCAGCAGTAGAGTGCTTGCCTATCATGTGCAACAAGCTGGGTTCGATCCTCAGCACCATATAAAAATAAATAAAAAAAACAAAGATACTGTGTCCAACTACAACTAAAAAATAAAAATAAAATAATAATAATAATAAAAGAGATAAAATCACTTGCCCAAGGTCACATGCCTAGCTTGGATATGAGCCCACAAAGTCAAGGTTCAAAGTCCTTGTTTCTGAGCTGGGGATGTGGCTCAAGTGGTAGCGCGCTTGCCTGGCATGCACCGGGCGCTGGGTTCAATCCTCAGCACCACATAAAAATAAAATAAAGATGTTGTGTCCACCGAAAACTAAAAAACAAATATTAAAAAATTCTCGTGCTTTCTCGCTCTCTCTCTCTCTCTCTTAAAAAGAAAAAAAAAAGTCCTTGTTTCTAACCCATGGACTATCACTACTTTTTGGAAAAGCAGCCAGTGAGAAACAGAGCCTCTGGGATATGGCAGAATAGAAAATTCACAGAAGAGAGACAAACAGGAAAGAGACTGATGTTGGAAGAAAGAATGGGAATTTCATATGGAAATATTTTATAAGGATTTGGGAATGATAGATTGAAACTTTAGGACAAGCCTCAGGACAGAAATTTGGGTGAGATCCTCAGAAAGGTAATGATAAAAGTAATGACACTGGATCTCAAAAAGGAAAAGAGATTTATTAACAAAAAAAGGATGTGTAATAGAACTGCTCGGTGTGATAGAAATGTTCTGTCTTGTTATCACTGAGTTAAATATATGTGTACATTTGTGAAATACCATGGAGTAATTCACTTAAAATGAGTGTCTTGTATGTAAATAGACCTCAATAAATTTATTTTTTATTTTAAAAAAAAGAAAAGGAAATTAAAAAATCAGAGAATCTGGCTGGGGTTGTGGCTCAGTGGTAGAGCTCTCGCCTAGCACATTCAAGGCCCTGGATTCAATCCTTAGCACCACATAAAAATAAATAAATAAATAAAATGTATTGTATCCAACTACAACTAAAAAATAAATGTTTTTAAAAATCAGAGAATCGGGCTGGGGTTGTGGCTCAAGTGGTAGAGTGCTTGCCTAGCACCTGTGAGGCACTGGGTTCGATCCTCAGCACCACATAAAATAAAGATATTGTACCCACCTAAAAATTAAAAAATAAATATTAAAAAAAATTAAATAAAAATAAAAAAATCAGAGAATCAGATGAAGAGATAAAGGCATCTACTAGACAGTTAATAGGGATAATGGCCAGTTCAACGTCATGACTGCACTAGGCATAGGGAAGGCTTAGCCCTCTGTCCTCCCTAGTGCCAGCCTCAAAACCCAAGCCAGGCTGAACTTCTGGGATATGCCTGTTCTTCTCTAACCACCAACAGCAGTCCTGGCCTTCAGGAACAACTCCAAATGACTCCACTTTTAGGATATTTCCCCTAAATCTTCTTGGACATTTAGTTCAGTAGAATAAACTCCTTGAAGATGGAAATATTCCCATCGTGATGCTCAGAATACTGTACATAGTCAGTGTTCAATAAACGTTCATTGAGAGTCTTTTGATCTTTCCAGTCCTTGCCTCAAGTGCAAAGCCAAAGACTATTACCCTGTACTAAGCTCCTACTGTAATAGGAAGCATATATCCAGCATTGACTCAAATTTTGGCGAAGTGAGTTTGGGTAATTAGGAGTGTTTTAGGGACAAAGAAGCACATTCCTCAGCAGCCCCACAATAAGCCCAGGATCCTAGGAAAAACTCTCAAGGTTCTGGATTCTTTTTTAATGGGTATAAAAATACCTGGAAAAAAATATGTAAATTTGCTCACATCTCTGAAGCCAGAAGGCAATTCCTAGAAAAGATAAACTTCATTTACTGTCACCTGAGCAGGCAGCAAGTCCGTAGCCATCCCTTCCTTCTTAATTTTCTTGCCAAAGGAGAATAGAGTGCTGACAAGGTAGGTCTGGAAAGGAAAAAGGTACCATGAAAAACTCTGGTGTCAAGATGTGGCTTGAAGAGAGGGAGTTACAACTGTCTATAACCTCCATCAGGTCCCAACAAAGCCACATATATTATATAAACCAAAAAAGAAGAATGTTGACCTAGCCAATTTGCCAAACTTCACCCCCTATCTAAGCTATCAGCTTCCTCTAACCAAATCGTGACTCATATTAAAGGGTCTTTCAGAGTTTAAAACTGTATACTCTAATAGTCACAATGAACTTGAATTTCCCAGGGATAGCACTTTCAAACATAGCTAGCTGATCCTAGGCCTATCTGCTCTGTCTTGCCCTTTCCTTCCTGTGGAAATCACAACAAAGGTGCTTTCCCTGAGTGAGCCTCTGTAGAGTGCTATGTTCTCAAGAACTGTGAGTAAAACACAATCTGTAAACTTTCCCAACCTCTCTCTCTCTTGATGTGTGCCTAGCCTTACCATACCAAAATAACATGATTTAAAACACTGTCCCTAGCCCAAAACATATGCCATATAGTTGCTCCAAAATATTGATCCTGCAGAGCTATGCTTAAGGACATCCACAGCTCCAAATAACCCTTCTCTCCCCATATACACATACCAGTTGGGAGGGGTGGAAACGCCAATTGCTTGGTAGATAGCAAGATCAGAGGGTGTCTGAACAGCCAGAGGAGCCTTAGCTTCCTATGCACTAAATCTGTCTTGAGTTTGCAATAGGGCACTCAGGATGCCATCCCTGGCAAGAAAGCAGAATAAGCTGAATGTGCTATGAAATCTCCAGGTGGAGCACCTCAGCCAATCAAGGGAAACTGTTAGAGAAGTAGTCACCTATGATAATACACAATCTTCTCCATAGCAGGAATCCTGAGTGCTTTTAATCTATTATTTTTAATCTTCACAACAACTTAAAAGTAAATACAGCCATTCTGTATCTGTGCATTCCACGTCCATATATTCAATCAACCTCAGATATAAAACAAAAATTGTTTTGGTATGGAACATTCACAGATTTTTCTTCTTGCTAATGCAAGGGAAAAAAAACAATACAGTGTAACAACCACTTACATCAGGTATTATAAGTAATCTAAGGATAAGAATAGCAGAGGATGCCCATAGGTTATATATAAATACTATATCATTTTATAGAAAGGTCTTGAACATCCAAGGATTTGGGTATCCTAGATGGTTGCGTGAGGTCTTGGGACCAATCCCAAGGAGATGCAGAGTACCGTATTCCTACCACATTCTATGGATGTGAGGAAGACTGGGAACTACAGATTCCGGACATGCCCAACATAACAAAACAAACAAACAAACAAAAAAGAAGGGAGTCCTAGTCCTAGTACAAGGTTTAATTTCAGCAATTATCTGGCCACTCTGAGCCCAGGATCTTTATCTATTAAATGGGAACAGTTATAGGGCAAACCAACCAGCCTATGACTTGGCATCAGATGAGTACATTCATTTCTAGTGCCGGGCACATGGGCTTTCCCTGCAGATATTAGCTATTGTTGTTTTTATTATTTCTGCTTCGCTAAAGAAGCCACAAAAGACTGACAGGCACACGCCCACTGCCATCCCCGGCACACCCCTGCTCGCCTAGCAGGAACGCTTCCTCCCCGAGGGTCCCCCAGATGCCAGTGAGATGGGGCGCAGAAAACCAGGGCCCCCAGGTCGCCGGCCGACCGGCGCCTCTGGACCTACGGGCCGCGCGGCCCCGCGCCGCTCAGGGCCTGTCCTCGACTCCCCGCAGGCCCTCTCATCCCCATACTGTGGCCCCACTCACACGGAGAGAAGCGCTGGCTCGTGCCACGGCTTGAAAGAGGCAGCCGGGAGCGTCTCAGCTCCGGGCGGGCCGTCCTAGTAGACTCGGGATCCTAACACTCGCCAAGAGCCCCCCAGAAAGGCCGCGAGCAGTCCCCTCCGTCCCGCGAACCCCAGAAAAACTACGACTCCCGGCATTCCCCGGGCACCCGCCGACTACACTTCCCAGAGGGAGCCGCGGCAAGGCGACCTCCGGCCGATTAAAGTCTCTTCGCTCACGAGGTTCCCAGCCCAGTGGTCCGCGCGAATCTGCAGTGCCAGGGAGGGAGCCTGGGGCAAATAGGATGGGTAGTCTCCTGCCCTTGCTGCCCTGGTCAGCCGCCAGTCTTGTTTTGTTAGGCGGCAACATGAAGCAACTAAACAAAACCCTAATTTAGTTGTATTTAGGAGAATCAGTATGCTGTAGTTTCCACTACTAGTCATGATTATTTTTAATGACCTAACGCATAAGATGGGCGTAGGTACAGTTGAAAAGCAGTCGAATGCTCAGTAAACGCCTGGCTGAACTTCGCCAAATTTTTGGAAGCCTTGTCCACAATGCTCCCCGTGGTATCTTCCTTGTTATCAGCGTTCCTTTGCTCAGTGTTATAGTTAAACCGTATGTATGTGTCCCTAAACCGTGTTTATATTGTTCTTCATATAAATGGAATCTGCTATATAAAGTTGGCCCTCCCTATCTGCGGGTTCACTCGTCGGTGGAGTTAACCAAAAAGAGTTTAAATCCAAAAAGTTCCAAAAAAGCAAGTTAAAATTTAGATTTTGTTTCACTGCAAGGTACTATGCTGGATCCATGAATGAAATGATGTGGAGGCACTGCATTAGATATAATTCATAATATGCTAGTACTGTGCCATTTTATATAAAGGACTTAAGCATCCATGACTTAGGATATCTTGGGCAGGGAGTCCTGAAATCACTGCCCCACAGTTAAAGAGGGATAACACTAGAAATACAACAGCGAATAAACCTGGCAAAACCTTTTTGCACACATGTGGCTTAAATTCTGCTGTGGAAGAGAAAAAAGATAAGAATTATTATGTCTTGCTAATCAGAGAAAGAGAAATGGGAACACGGAGGGGGAGGAGAGTTTGGGCAATTAAGAAACATTTCATGAAGTAGGTGACATTTGAAGAAAGAACTGCAGAAGACAAATATGCCCAGTGTCAGCTAGCAAAATAAAAAGCAGATTCAAATTTCCCCAAAATGGAATCATGCCTGGCCTTTTCAAGGAACATAATACTACTACTAGCTGGGCATGGTGGCACAACCCCAGCTGCTTAGGAGGCTGAGGGAGGAGAATCACAAATCCATTACACCAGCCATGGCAACTTAGCAAGAAGCCCCTGTCTTAAAAAAAGGGATTGAGGCTGCTTTTGCTAAAAGCAGTGACTTCAATTAGGCCTGCATGCCCAATGGGTAACTGAAAGCAGGATGAAACTTCATCTTAAAACTTTTAGAGTCAGGTCACTGCTCAGCTCTTCACATAGGCATGTTAATCATTTAAGGAGTATTCATCTAAAAATGAGGAATACAATGTTTATTAAACCTGAATTTACCTAACCTATCTTGTCCCTGCTCAAGACTGAGGGATTTGCAAATGCAGCACAATCTGCTTTTATAATATCCTGTTTCAGACCCCCAGAGTGGCACCTAGAAGTCTTCAGTCTTTGTCCCACACCTTCCAGGAAGTCATCCCCATGACTCTGCCCACTAAGCAGGTGCAATCATATCATGGGAACTAAATCTCACCCTTCCAGGATCAGAGATCTGATAAACATCCTGAGCAGCAAGTGGAATTGCCCCTTAAGAGATAAAGACTTCTCTGAAGCTCAATCAGACCACATTTGACCCAGATTGCTTAACTGGTTATACCTCTTGCCCAATTCTTAACTCTGTTTAAACCTAACCCTCCTGCCAGCACCCTTAAGACACTGCTGAATGCTGGCTCTCAAACTTCGTATTCCCAATATGAACATATTGATTAGTTTACTTTCCTGCTTTTCACCATTACTTTTTCTGCTTGTTTTGGGGGGCAAATGGCCAGATGTTGTTTATTGGAAAGTCAGGCCTCTGGCTAGAATTTGGGTAACATGATCAATGGAGAAAGACTCTCTGCTCGAGAGACCAAGAAAACTTTAGTTTGCTCCTCTCAATTCTGGTTTTGATTAGGCCTCAACTTTGGCTTCCATCCTGTCTTTGGCCTGACTATACCAGTCTTTGCAAACAACTCCCACTTGTCAGGGTTGGTTTTTTTGGTTCAGGTACCAAGGATTGAACCTGGGGTGCTTAACCACTGAGCCACAACCTCATTTCTTTATTTTTCATTTTGAGAAAGGGTCTTGCTGATTAAGGCCTAAGTTGCTATGGTTGGCTTTGAACTTAAAATCCTCCTGCCTTAGCCTCCTGAGCTGCTGGGATTACAGGTGTGTGCCTGTGACCAATTCATGTCAGTTTAACAGGAATCCCCAACCCTTGATATTTGGTAAGTTTCCCGTTCCTCACTTGATGTCTCCCTCATCCAGGGTGTTCAGGTATTAGGACCTCTGTTTTATTCTTCCTCAAGATAGAGTTGGACCAAAAAGTTTTGCTTATTTATATTGACTACACCCTGATATTCCTATCCATCTTTGCTCTGGCTGCCCTGAGCAGCCTCTTGCCAAAGAGGGAGTCTTTCTTGGGCACCAAGCCATCTGAGAATCTGTGCTTCTCCCCAAGTGATTTCTTTGCCTTATACTTGGAAAGTAAATCCCTGCCCTGAATTTTGAGTATAGGAGTTAACTAATCTCCAAAGATGGCCCCCAATAAGAACCATCTCTTTCAATACAGCAGAATCAATGCCATGTGATTCCCAAAGCTGGCTTGTAAGATATTTGCATCCTCTACCAAGGTCTCTTGGAATGCTTGCTCTTGGATCACTCCATCTCAGAAACCAACCACACATCTATGAGAAGCCCAAGCCCCAAGGATGAGCAACTGAGCTCTCAGCCAGCAGTCATCATCAACTGCCAGTCATCTTGGACATCCAGTACAATTGAGCCTTCAGCCTCAGCTGTCATGAAAACAGAAATCAACTGAACAGTAAGAACTGCTCAGTTAAGCCCCCAAATATTAATATTGATAGATATTAATAAGGTGTTTAGACAACAAATTTTGGGGTGACTTGTTAGAGATGGATAACCAGAATACTTTCTCAATCATTTCATGTTTTTAACAACTTTACCATTTGTATGTATCACCTAATATAAACTTAATTTTGCAAAAAGTTTCATCATACTATGTATTGTTTCCTATAACTTTTTAAAAATTCAACGTTTTTGTCAAACTCATCCATATTTTTAGTTTCAGTTCATTCATTTTCTCTATTCTGTGTTAATATTCAAAATTTACCAATTCTTCTATTAATGGACATTCAAACTACTTAAAATTATTTGCTATTATGATCACTGCTCCTCAGAGTATCTTTATCAATGTCTGATGCCCATGTACAAACATTATCTGGTATATTTGCTGTGGGTGTGTATACAGCTAGACTACTTGTTCCATTATTCTATGCTAGTATGTATATATTCACACAGTGAAGCCTCTATGAAATGATATGCATATGTTTCACATTGCAAGATGTGGAGCCAACCTAGATGCCCTTCAGTGGATGGATAAAAAAAAAGTGGCATAATATACAATGGAATTTTACTCGGCAATAAAGGAGAATAAAATCATGGCATTTGCAGGTAAATGGATGGCACTGGAGAAGATAATGCTAAGTGAATTTAGCCAATCCCCAAAAAACCAAATGCTGAATGTTTTCTCTGATATAAGGAGGCTGACTCATAGTGTGTGTGGGGGGGGAGCATGGGAGGAATAGATGAATTATAGATAGGGCAGAGGGATGGGAGGGAATGGGAGGGGGCAGGGGATTAGCAAGGATGGTGGAATGTGATGGACATCATTACTGGAAAGTAGATGTATGATGACACGAATTGGTGTCAACATAGTTTATATACAACCAGATATGAAAAACTGTGCTGCATATGTGTAATAAGAATTGTAATGCATTCTGCTGTCATTTATTTTTTAAAAAAATCAATAAAAAGGGAAATACATTATTTAAAAAAGATGTCAATGATCATACATTCCCTCCAGTACAGGATGAATTCTAGTTATTCTACATATATCCCAAACTTCTGTACTGTTACACATCTTAATTTTTTCTCATTTGTAATTGGTAAATTTTAAACCTCTAATAAAGTTACTATCATTTCATGATTTTGGAAATTGGTGTTCTCTTCTGTAGTCATGTATTCCACATCACTTTTTCCTATTAAATATTAATTTGTAAAAATTATTTGAACTTTTTTGGATTATAATAGTCCACTGAGCATACTGCTGAAAGATCTGTTTTGTGTCATGACTTTTCATTCCTTTTTTGGTGTATTTTGGTAAGCAATTCTTTGATGTGAGCAAATATATCAAAAACTTCACACAGCTCATTTGTTTTAGGAACTCCTTCCCTGCCTCAAGGCCATCTAGTTATTCCTTACATGTTCTTATGAAAGTTATAATTTTGCCTTTTGTACAACTGTTATGTGAGGGGTAGGGTCCAGGTTGTTTGTTTTTTCTGTGGGACCATTTCTATGTCCTATAGCATTACTGAACAGTTCATTCTTTCTCCTATTCCTTCAGTTATAAATGTTTTTAATGTTTTAACATTTCTGCAGGTTTTCAGTAAATAAACCAAAATTCATCATGATGCTATTAACCAATTAAATCCTAAGTTCTCAAGTCTGTGAACATAATAAATATTCGAGTATTATTTCAGTTACCATAGTAGTACATTAATTGCTTGATATAAGTTTTTATAGTTGTTCTGTATCTGGAATGATGGGACAAAATGGGTTTAGGTACTTTTGGGTTACTTTTGCTAAGCTTTTGTTTAGCATTTTTTACATCTCTTCATGGATAACAGCAACTTGCAATTTTCCTTTTTTGCATTTTCCTTGCCTAATTTTGGTTTTGGGTTATATTAGAATTATTGTGCTTACACATTATCTTTTCTGGAAGATTGTAAAACTTAATATTACTTAAAAATTTAATCAATCTTGCTTGAAAAATAACAGGGCCAT